TGCCAATGGCATGAACATTACTTTTGTGCCCTATTCACAATCCATGGCATAATGGAAATTTTCTTTCCCTCTCCAAGTCTGGAAGATCCAGGATATGTTAGGTCTCTCCTTCTTCACTTTATCTGTGTCTCCACGTTTTAAATTTAGAAAGTAGGGATGATTACATTCCCATCTTATAAATAGTCTTGTGAGGACACAGACATAAAGATTTTCAAGTAGTTCCTAGCATGTAAAGTAAGTCTCCTAAAAGTTGTTTTTTTGGCCAGTTCTGGGACTTGAACTCAGGGCCGATAGCCTCAGTTGGCTTTTTCCACTCACAGCTGGTGCTTTACCACTGAAGCCATCCCTCCACTTTTCCCTTTTTGCTGATTACTTGGAGATAAGATACGTTTCAAACCTTGATTCTCAGATCTCAGCCTCCTAAGTAGCTAGGCATGAATCTTGTGCCTGGTTGCTAATACTGTTTTTTGTTTGCTTATTTGTTTATAGAAAGGATGGAATAGATGGGGCTGTCTTTTCAGTGACCTTCAGCTTCCTGGGCAAATGTACATTAAAGATACCTTTATGGTACCTTTGTAGCCTAGCACCTTTATGCTGCAAGCTTAATAGGATTCAGGTGGGAATAATAGCTGTGCTGTTATTAGTCTTTCTCTCGTGTGTGTGTGTGTGTGTGTGTGTGTGTGTGTGTTTAGGATTGGAACTCAGAACCACTGCTATAACACTTGAATCACACTCCCAGTCCTCATATATCTTATTTGAAGAATACTGGCGAAGAACTATTAACTTTTAGGCAAGGCTGTTTAGTTTTAACCAGGTCAGGGCAGAAGGTCATGTAGTATGCCCCTTCATATGTAATTGAGCACAGGTAGTACTAGTACTTCCAGACTTCTCTCAAAATCCATTTATGTCTGACCAAAAGTTCTACTTAGTCTAGATTGGAAAAGGTCATTTTGTTGTTCTTGGAAGTTCAAGTGCAGAACTATGCTTTGCTAGCAGGGATGCCAAATGTGGTTTGCTGGGGCCAACCTGGGAACGAAAAGACCCTGAGAGAAAACAACTCAGGTAGAAAAGGACTTGCTTCTTGGGAGGGAAAAAAAAATTTTTTTTCAGTATAAAATTAGTAGCAATACATTAACATCATTTTTATTCTTTTCAAAATAGGAAACATATGAAATAAAATGACAGGATATGCATGTACTCATTCACAAGATTAAACAGATGTTAATATTTTGCTATGTTTGTTTTCTACCTCTTGGGGGAAGAAAAAAAAAAGCATAACCAGATGTAGGTAAAGTACCATGCCCCTTTGTTTTGTTCTTTGCCAAGGGAAAATGTGTCCTCAGATGTGTTTGTGTCCTACCTGTACCTGTCTGCCACAAAAGTACTTTTGAGAGAGGGAGAGGGAGAGGCTGCTCTGCCTTTGCCCCTGCTTCCAGTAGCTCTGCGGTCAGGCCTCTCCCTGTGGAGATGGCAGCCCTTCCCCTCCACACTGCCCAGGGGCTGCGTGCTGCATGGATGCCCTCTCTGTCTTTTCTACCTGGGACCTGGGACCAGGCTGCTCTGCTTGCCAAAGGAATTGTAGGAGCCCTGTGTGAGTCCCTCCTTCCCTGCTCACTCTATTCACATGTACATTTTTTGCCAGTAGTGAATTACCAGTGAAATGGAGTCCTCTTATACTGTGGTCATCAGGTCCCCCCCCACTCTCACTGCCCACTGGCCTCTTCAGTTATTCCTTGACTTGTTGGACAGTGCACATATGCCATATCTTTTCTCTGTAATTTCGTTTTCCACTTTGTGTGTGCGCGTGCGCGTAAGTATGTGCATGTATGCACACATGTGCATGCATGTGTTATTTTATGACAATGTTTTGCTATATAACCCAGACTGGCCTCAAAACAGCCTTTGGTTGTGAGGTTTTTTGTTGTTGTTTTTTACAAGCCGTACTGCTGAATTTGGTCTTCATGTCTGCCTCTCCTTCCTCCTTCCCTCCCTCCCCTCTTCTCTCTCCCTTCCTCCTATTTCCCCTTTATTTTGTAGTCCTGGAGCTGGAACTCAGGCTCTCACCCTTGCTAATAAGCAAGTGCTCAATCACTTGAGCTATGCACCATTCCCTCTCCTTCCCTTTTCTCCCCTCTTTCCTTTGAGGAGGTTTTTCTTTAAGTCATATAGGCTTAATAATTCCTCCTTATAGCCGGGCGCTGGTGGCTCACACCTGTAATCCTAGCTACTCAGGAGGCTGAGATCTGAGGAACGCGGTTCAAAGCCAGCCCGGGCAGGAGAGACCTTGAGACTCCTATCTCCAATAAACCACCAGAAAACCGGAAGTGGCGCTGTAGCTCAAGTGGTAGAGCGATCGCCTTGAGCTAAAGAGCTGAGGGACAGCGCCCAGGCCCAGAGTTCAAGCCCCACGACCGACCAAAAAAAAAAAATAAAAATAATTCCTCCTTATACTGTACTATGGGTCCTTTCCTTCTAGTACTGTCCTTTGTGATACATTCCATATGCAGTGAGTTCATATATAAGAGCTCTGTGCTCTGGACATTTTGTGTTTGAAGCCATCTCTTCTGGACATTTGGTTAAATTTACATGTAAAAACACTTGGGCCGTGGGGGGGGGGGGCGGCGGTCAGTTGTGGGGTTTGAACTCTGGGCCTGGGCGCTGTCCTTCAGCTCTTCAGCTCAAGGCTTAGCACTCTAGCATTTGAGCCACAGTGCTACTTCCAGTTTTCTGGTGATTTATTGGAGATAAGAGTCTGATGGGCTTTCCTTTCCAGGCTTGCTTTGAACCGTGATCCTTAGATCTCAGCCTCCCTGAATAGCTAGGATTACAGATGTGAGCACCCAGCCAGGGCAGGTCACAGATCTTATGTGTTACAGTGTTCGTGGACATTTTCCCACAGTGCTGGGGCCTGACTCTAGCATGTTAGGCACATGCTCTAACCTGCACTCCCAGCCCCTGGGCCTAATGGTAATGAGTTGCAAGGGAAAAGGGGGAAACCATGAAGAAACTGAGGCCTCAGTTCTGTAGATAGTACTATATCTTAAATCTCAGCCACATCATACATAGGACCATATCGTAAGTCTCACCTTATCACTTGCCTTCTCAGCAGAAACCTTCCCAAGACAGTGGCCACACACAGGCCTGCAGTGGCCTTCCGCGTTCCTCTACCCCTGTGTCCTCCTGGACCACGTCTTATCTGCGTTGTAACTGCCTATCACAAGTTCTCTCTTCTCGTGGAATGCCATGCTCAGGCCAAAGCAGAGCTGCCCTGGTCACGCTGCGTCTCCAACACTCAGCCCGGCGTCTGGCCCATAAAAGTTCACCAGTAACTCATAGTCGTTAATTCTTAATGATGCGGTACTATAAATATTCTGATGAGAACTTTTATTGAGTACTTATTATATCCCAGGTACTATAATTAATTTTTTATCCACTTTACACAAATAGTAATGCTAAGTTATGATTTACCTACACAAGTTGTCCTTATTGTAGTCTTGGGAGATAAATATTATTGTTAACTATTTTACAGATGATGTAGCTGGCATTTAGATACATTCTTTTCTTTCTTTCTTTCTTGGGCCTGGGCGCTGTCCCTCAGTTCATTTCAAGGCTAGCACTCTGCCACTTGAGCCACAGTGCCACTTCCAGTTTTCTGGTGGTTTATTGGAGGTTAGAGTCTCACAGACTTTCCTTCCCAGGTTTGAACAGCAATCCTCAGATCTCAGCCTCCTGAGTAGCTAGGATTACAAGAGTGAGCCACTGGTGCCCGGCTAGATACATTCTTTGACTTACCTAAGGTCAGCCTCTTTAAGCGGTAGAGCCTGGATTCAAACTCCTACCTGTCTGGCTCTAGAGTCTCTGGTTTGGCACTGTACCACTCATTGCTTCTCTGTCTCCAAAGCCAAATAAGGTTGGGGAACCAAAGCCATACAGTTAACTGATGTTGTAAAATTGCAAAGGGGACAGACTGAAGCCTGAAGCCTGCCTCCTTTAATAAGAGAATGATGTAAGCAAGGGGGTTCCATTGTATATTGTGATGATTCCTTTGTGGACATTGCTCTTGGGGCACATCTAGCAGGGGCTGGCATTGACCTGTTGAACCTGTAACACCTGTGGCTATGGCAGCACTGGTCTCAGTTACCCCACACTGGCCTGATGAGCCAGGCTAGCTTGTTCTGTCCCGTTGTGGACCATGCGTGAGTGCTGGTACTCGTGGGCTATAGAGCTGGAAGGAGGTAAGTCTAAGTTGGTGTGGATCCCACTGTCTTTCTGGTGTTCCTGGTGACTGAGGAATGGGGGAGACGGAGACATTTCAGTGTTGCCATTTAATCCCTAAGAAATTTTAAAGAATTTTTTTTTTTTTTTTGGTGGTCTGGGGCTTGAACTCTGGGCCTGGGTGCTGTCCCTAGGCTCTTCAGCTCAAGGCGAGCATTCTACCACTTGAGCCACTGTGCCATTTCTGATTTTCTGGTGGTTCTTTGGAGATCAAAGTCTCACAGACTTTCCTTGCTTGGGCTGGCTTTAAACTGATTCTCAGCTTCCTCAGTAGCTAGGATTACAGGCGTGAGGATTACAGGCGTGAGCCACTGGTGCCTGGCTTTTAATTTTTTTTTTTATGTTAGCAGTGACAATCATTTCTAGAACGGACACTTTGTCAAAGACACTATGTTATTTATTACATTAAGAGTTGCATATTGAATTTTGAGTAATACCAAGTTTTGGTGTTTTTTTTTAATCCTGTAAAAACCATCTACAGTTATGCTATTGTAGAATTACATTCTGGTAAAAAGACTTACGCATTCTCTTTGCTGTGTTTTATTCATGCAGATTGGAAATGTGGATCCTTGTAACTTGGTGGCCTATCCTTGGTACTAGCTATTTCTAGAAGTGGAAATTGGCAGATTTATACTCACTGACACACAGATATCATCCATCATAGGTTGAGTTGTGGGTGTAGATCATGGTGTTGATGTTACATACCGTTTTGTCTCTTGTTTCAGACCGGTCGAATTGACAAGTCCTACCCTACAGTATGTGGCCACACAGGACCAGTGCTGGATATAGACTGGTGCCCTCACAACGATCAGGTCATTGCCAGCGGCTCCGAGGACTGCACAGTTATGGTAAGCTCCTAGTGATGGGCCTCTGAGACTTATCTCTTGCTTTCAAGTATGCGTGTGTGCGTGCGTGTGTGCATGCGTGTGTGTGTGTGTGTGTGTGCGCGCGCGCTTGCACTTGCGTGCGTATGCATATGGTAAATAGGGGGAGAGAGCTTAAAAAGCAGCAAATTGGGCTGGGAAGGTGGCTCAGTGGTAGAGTACTTGCTTTGTATGCATGAGGCCCTGGGTTTGATTCCTCAACACCACATAAGCAGAAAAGCTGGAATTGGCGCTGTGGCTCAAGTGGTAGGGCGCTAACCTTGAGCTGAAGAGCTGAGGGACAGTGCCTAGGCCCCAAGTTCAGGCCCACGACTGACACCCCCCCCCCCAAAAAAAAAAAAAGGCAGCAAATCAGCTGGGCATCAGTGGCTTACGACTGTAAACTTAGCTAGTCTGGAAGCTGAGATCTGAGGATCTTAGTTCAAAGCTACCCTGGGCAGGAAAGTCTGTAGGAGTCTTATCTCCAGTCAACTACCAAAAAGCTGGAGCTGGATATGTAGCTTAAGTGGTAGAGTGCCAGCTGTGAGGAAAAAAGCTAAAGGACAAGCACCTACTCCCTTAGTCCCTGAGTCCAACCCCAGTACGGGCACCCAAAAAGGAGGGGGCGGGGCAGAAAAATCTATAATGATTTTGCCTCTATATTGAATTACGTCAGGATGTTATGACCTTAAAGCTTAACTGTAAATGGCCCTTAACAAGCCCTGCCCCAGTTGCTTGTATTGTATTGACTTTGTTCTTTGTATGCATGTGTCTATGTTTGTGCATATTGACAGCTCACATGTGCTATGTGGGGAGGATTTTAGATCAAGCAAAATGATTCCTGGTCTGTGAATGCCATTTGGCTACATGACACCTCACTCAAAAAGTGAAACTGCTGGCACCGACTGTCTGTTCCAGTGCTGTAAGACGCCACACAGTAAGCAGTGTGGTGGGCACCGGGAGAGGAAAGAGTTTAGCAAGAGCTTGTTCTGAGGTCCTGTCAGAAGGCACATGTTTGCTGTATGGCGGACACTGCTCGGGAGTCTTTTCATGAAGAAATACAAATCCCTGTAAGTTCTTTGTAGTCCCTCTTTTAGATTCCACTAGTAGGTTATGTATGAAACGGGGCTTTGGGATACTTTGGGGGGTTTTGTTGTTTTGGAGCAGGGTCTTGCTGTTACCCAGACTGGTTTTGAAAACTGCTGGGCTCAAGCTGTCCTTCTACCTTTCCCTTCTAGGTAGTTGGGCCTATAGTCACACATGGCCATACTCTACTCAAAAGTACTTCCTTTCCTTTTTTTTTTTTGTTCTTTTTTAGTTGTTGCCAGTAAGTACTGGGGCCTCAGTTCTTGCATGGCTTTTTTTTTCCACTCAAGGCTGGTGCTCTACCACTTGAGCCACAACTCCAGTTCTTCTTCTGAGTTTTTGCTGGTTAATTGGAGATGAGGGTCTTGGACTTATTTTTTTCTGAGCTGACTTCTCACCTTGAATCCTCAAATCACAGCCTCTTGAGGAGCTAGGGTTGCAGGTGTGAGCTCCAAAGTACTTTCTAACACAGAGACTCTTATTCTTCGTTCTGAGCTTTAGCCTTAAAATAGGATTATTGGTTTGGATCCCCTTTTTCAATCCTTGCTCAAAAATGTTGAAGACCAGTGAACAGGTGGCAAGTGCTACTTCCCCTGGGCAGTGAGGCTGAGGAGAGCCTGCAGTGCCGTGCTATTTTGATTTTCCTTTTTCCTGTCTGTGGCCCAAAACATGGTTTCTCTGTTTTTGGAATGCCTTATTAGTTGCAATTCTTTTATGCAAACAAATTAATTCCTGAACTGTGTTATTTAAACATCTACCCACTTTTCCTCGTGGGCTTCTGGCTTCTCTGTGATCTGCTCACTTTGGCAGCTGCAGTCTGTCGTGCTGCTGTTAAGAGGACTTGTTCTGTTTAGTAGGTCTTGCTAAGGGGATCCTTTCACTGGCTGCAACACGTTTTGCAAAAGGAAAGGAATACCATTTGGATCTGTGGCCAAAAATGTACAACTAAGTTTGAATTTTAAGCTTCTAAAAGGCAGTTCTGATCTCTCTCTCTCCCTGTCCAGCCTTCCTGGTCATGTTACCTTCAAACAGACAAGGAAACAAACAAAAACCTTTAGCTGGGTGCTGGTAGCTTATGCCTATAATCCTTGCTACTCAGGAGGCTGAGATCTGAGGATCAGGGCTCAAAGTCAGCTTAGGGAGGAGAGTGCATAAGACTCTTACTTCCAATTACCAGAAAACCGGAAGTGGCACTGTAGCTCAAGTGGTAGAGCACTAACTAGCCTTGAACAAAAAAAGAGCTAAGGCAGTACACACACTCTTCTCTCTCTCTCACACACACACCAGCAATTTTTTTTTTTCTTTTTTGTCGGTCATGGGGCTTGAATGCTGTCCCTCAGCTCTTCAACTCAAGGATAACACTCTACCACTTGAGCCAATGCACCAGTTCTGGTTTTCTGAGTGGTTTATTGGAGGTATGAGTCTCATGGACTCTCCTGCCCCAGCTGGCTTTGAACAGTGATCCTCAGATTTCAGACTCCTGAGTATGAGCATGAGCTACTGGCACGGGGCAACAAAAAACAAAACAAAACAAAAAACCTTTTATACTGAAAAGTGGATCGAGTGATTTCTTAGCACATGGTGAATGTGCTACTGTGTTAAGACCTAGAACTTCCTCAGTCTCCTCCCACTACTGCTTGCCGCCCATCCCCATCCCATCATCCCCTTCTGATATCAGAATAACTGACTTCTATTTTATTGGTGTCCTTGCTTTCTTTATGATGTTAGTCACACAAGTGTGCATCTTTAAACACTGTGACTTTGCCTGGCCAGTTAAAAAACCTTGAGAGGTTGGCTTTACGTCTGTGGATTCCTTTCATTCTTTTTTCCTCCTCCTGCACTATCTGTTGAAGAATTGTGACCTTTGACCTGTGCTGTTCAACTATCTGGATTTTTCCCATTGCTCCCTTGTTCACATGCTACTCTATCTGGATCTATGTTCAGCTCCTTGAGGGAGACTTGTTAGAGTTACGTTTTTCCTTCAGGAGGCACATAGTGTATGCTTTCCATTCTTGTTTGATTTGTGCAAGTGTGGGTGCTGAATGCCTCCATCTAGTAAATCATTAAACGGCTGAAAAATTGCTGCCTTTACCTATTCCTTTCCTTTCGTTATATTTGTTTGTTTATTTATTTTGTGCCAGCCCTGAAGCTTGATCTGGGTCTAGATGCTGACCCTGAGTTTTTTTGCTCAAGGCTAGCACTCTACTGCTTGAGCCATAGCTTCCCTTCCAGCTTTTTGGTGGTTAATTGGAGATAAGAGACTCCTAGACTTGCCTGCCTGCCTGGCTTTGAACCATAATCCTCAGATCTCAGAGTAGTAGGATTATAGGTGTGAGCCACTAGTTCCTGGCTTGTTTCCAGTTTTTAAGTTGTAAACTTTTATCAGGTGATATTCCCTCTTCCGGATTCTTTTGGTCATGAGGCTTGAACTTCAGCCTAGATGCTGTTCCTGAGCTCTTTTTTCCAAGGCTAGTGCTCTATCACTTTGAGCCACAGAGCCACTTTCAGCTTTCTGTTGTTAATCGGAGATAAGAGTCTCACAGACTTTGCTTCCCCCTGACTGGTTTTGTACCATGACCCTCAGATCTCAGCTTCCTGAATAGCTAGGTTATAGGCATTGAGCCACCAGTTCCCCGCTTCCTGATTCTTTAGTGACCCAGTGTCACATCTCACGTAGGAAAGAGGAATAAGCTCTGGTTTTCATTTACCCAGTTTTCAAGGAAATGATTGGACTCGTAGGGACTGGACTCTTAGTTATCCTCAGAAAGTGACCAGTCAGGGTTATTTTTCTTCCTTTCATTTCACTTTGATGTCAGAGATTTGAATATATTTAACGGGTTCCAATTTGTTGTATTTCCTGAAGCTCAAAGCTCAGCTTGTCCTGTCTTTGCTAATGAGAACGTCTTCAAGATTTTGAGGTCATTTACAGTGACCCCACCATTTCAATGGTGTTTTACAGCTTCCTTGTCTAAAACATCAAGGTGTTTCAGGCTTACCTTGGACATCTCTGCCCAGTCCTTGAAGCTGCTGTTTCTTTCAGAAGACCTTGGTGTCTCTGAATTAGAATATGGTGTTTCTACATCTTGGCCTGCGAACTATGGAGTGTCAGCATTACAACAGGGTGATCATTGTTTAAATGAGTGAGTGAATGTATGTGTAAAGATTCAAGGCCTTGGGTTATTTTATTATCTAGTTCGCTTCAGGCCTGAGTTTGCTACTGTCTCTTGTCTGCTTTCCTTTTGCTCTTAGAATCCTGGTTCTCAAGGCGCACAGGGTAAGCTAGAACACTTTGCTCTATGATCGTTGCTTTATCGTATTATGCATGCCATGAATGATATGATGACCCATTGGCTCACAGTGCAAATGTTAATACCATCCCCAATAGATTTCCTGAAAATTATTGTTAAGAAGTCAAAAAGTCCCCTCTGTACATGACCTTTATAATGCTAACAACAACAAAAAGAAGTAAAAACACTTAGGGCTGGAAGTGTGGCTCAAATAATAGAGCACCTGCCTGGCAAGTGAAAGCCCTGAGTTCAAACCCCGCAGGAAGCGAGGGAAATCCCAAAACTTCATTCATAAATGGAGGGAGAATGGATGCAACCATCGCTGCTTCTCAAGCTTTGTCTCTGCTCTGTCCTTTTGGCCCCAGCTGAAGCAGATGGGTAGATGTTGGCAGATCATGGCCTTAGTAAACTGGAGGGTTGCCATTATTTTCAGCCGGCTGCGAGAACATCCCTGTGCTGCTGAGGCCAGGCGTGGGATCACCTGACAGGGGAGAGGGGAGGGGCTGTGGGGCTGGGTGCCCGGTGCCCTCCTAGCCACTGGGACCACTCCTAGGCCTCTGCTTAGTTAGGGGCTGCTGTTTCCGCTTCTTCCCAACCTCTTGGCCTTCTTCC